CCAGTATGCGACGTGAGATTGACGACCAGTGTGGGGATACAAATGAAGCAGGGAAGTTATCTTCCAGAGTGTGGCGATTCGGGTTCATTGAAATGAAAAAGGCTGAAGGTGCGAGCGAAACTCATGCCCTGATTGCGCTGTATGCGGTTCATTTTAAAACCCAAGCAAGGCGATGATGACTCGCTCGATCTGCATGAGCACAAAGCTATGAGAGATTTTATGATTGACGAGGTTCGCAAGAGGCTGGAAGACCGACCTGAGATTCACATACAACTCGGTCAACGATTCGATTCTGATGGCGATCCAAGTGCCTGGCAACCGCAAAGCTGGCAAGACAGGCTCAAGAGGAACGGCCGCAAGTATTACTTCTTGTTTCTTCATGTCGTGCTTGTCTTGTTCCTGGTGGGATGCCAGTGCGAGCTAGCACGAAAATGCAGAACTGCGTTGAAAGGGCTGCTTGAGCGGATGGATCTTCCGCAGCTGCCCACATATCAGTCGATATCTAACAACCAAAAGCTTGCGGATGCACATGATCGATACCATGACCAGCTGAAGAAAACGGTGGACTGCCTCCAGAAACAGGCAGGACCCCCCGAGCCGAGCATGGAGTCCGCCACGCACACCGAGAAGACCGAGCCCGCCACGCAGCCCCTGCCGAATGGATGCCAAGGAGGTGGTCTTGGGCTTATTCTTAAGCCTGGGGATACGGGGCATTCCCAAGGATCCACAAAGAGGGAGGTGAGGGAGGCCCGAGGTCTCGACGAACGGGAGCCAGGTAGCTTGGGCCAGCCTGGCAGTGGCATCCGTGGAGCGTTGCCTTGTTATGGCAAAGACTATCTGCGTTACCCGAGGAGCCCGACGTACGCCGAGTATATAGACCGAGCCCGCCACGCATGGCCGCCACGTACTGATAGGACATGATGATGATTGATGCGCAAGGCCATGGCAGGTGTCGCGGATGCATTACCAGCTCCACCCGCTCCAGGATCTGCACTTTTGCAGTAGAGCAGAGACAGCGGCTATGAGAGCAAACGGCCAGTGGGGCCGACTCAGGCTTAAGAGGTTTAGGTTGGGTTGCTATGCAATTCGTGTCCTCCAGTTCGGGCTTGTAAGTTTTGGCGTGTTTTTCTAGAAGTGGGGGCAGGACCTCATTAGGGGATGCATTCGGGTAGGTAGCTTTGGTTTTGGACTTGAGTTAGGAGATTTTGGAAGGGATTTTGGGTGATGCTTTGGCTTTTTGAAGGGCTGTTGATGGATGTGCAAAGCACGGGGTGCGAGGCGGGCATAGGATGTGATGTCTGGAGCAGGAGCACTGCTTCGGAATTCATGTTCTGGGGTTTAGGGTTTAGGGTCGTTTTGGTTTTGGATTGTAGTTAGGATTTCGGTGCGGGCTTTAATGGGAGGTGCTTGTGTTGTGGTCTTTGTTTCTGTGGGCTGGTTGAGACTTTGGAAAAGGCAGGAGAGAGGGTATAGACGCGTGGGGTATGTCATTGCTTTCTATTGGACCCCTAAGCAAGTAAACCTATGTTTTCCAACCTTGTTCAGGGTTTTTTTAAATGATACCTGAGTCGTAGGGAGACGCGAGCGCTTCTGGTTTCTGGTCCAGGGCTTACTTGCGGAATATAGAATCAGAAACCGAAAGCGTCCCCAACCCCCCCCCAAATAGAGACACCACCATAAACTGTATGCCATGCTAGCGTTGTGCGAGTGTGTGAGTCGAAATCAAAACCAGCAGATCCGAGCTGTCCCCACCGACTGCGAACCAAGAGACCTGGTCTGGCCGTGTGCGAGTTGCGGTAGCATAAACCCCCAAACCCTGAACCCCATAAACTATATTATGTTCTCTTATATTGCAGTATAGTATAGTATATCATAGTATGTTCATAGTATATTATACTAAATTATAGTATGACTGTAGTTTACCATGGTCTATTACAGTGCATTATTATAGTGTATTCGAGTATATTTTCGTGTATCATCGCCTATTATAGTACAGTATAGTATAGTTTATTATATTATGTCATATGATACTATATTGGAAGTGTCGACACCCACAAGAACAACCCTGGCCAGGCTGCCACAGACGCCAAAGTCGAGGCGCAGGAGGGCAGCTCAGTGGCTCCGAACGCTGAGACTCCGAACAACCTTAATTGAGCACCATGAATTGAAATTACGGGATGTTTAGAAGAGGGCCTGGCAGGCTTTGTTGTATATGGCTTCTTTTCGGCATATGCTCCAAATCATAGAGGGAGCCCCGATGTCGTGGCTTTAGGCTTGAGGGAAGTTTCCTGTCTGACAGTGAGCGCTAAAACGGGCTTCAGTGTTTAGCTTCAGATGTGGACTCGCTGGGGTGCCAATGGTTCAGGGTTTTATGACAAGGAGTCTGACTGGGGTTTAGGGTTCAGGGTTTAGGGTTTAAGGTTTAGGGTTTGGGGTTTAGGGTTTTGGGTTTGGGCACAGGCCCGACGGCTTCGGCGCCGGGTTGAGGGTTTGGCGTGTGTCTAGGGCCATTCAGGCTTAAAGATTTCGCACTGTTCAGGCCGAGGCCGAACGCAATCCTGAAAAGCCTACGCCCTGGATGCTGCTAGGAGGCCCTGCAGGAGGCAAAGGAGCAGCTCGTTAAATACCACGAGGCGCCCTCCTGGGGCTTTGGGGGGGTTTTTCGTTTGCAGCATCTGGGCTGCTCGTGACTTCACGGATCTGGTCAATCCTGACAGTAATGATAAACCCTAAACCCTAAACCCTGTCGGTCCGACGTGTGCGAGGGAGAGAAGGGTTCTGGGGTTGAGAGAAGCATTACGCCCGACGTAGTGCTGAAATCTGCACGAGGGCGCTTCAGTGGACAGCTAAGTCGTTCGAGTTTGCATTAGCAGTTGACTGAGGCAGCCTCTGTAGACCTTAGCCCTACATTCTTGCGGTGACACGGTCTAGTTACATGTAGTCTTTCGAGTATCGAGGTGCGGGTGTCGTGAGGCATTTGGTATTTGAGCCAAGAGTTTTAATACTTAATATAGAAGCCTAAAGAATTGCCATTATTTTTCCTTAGGGTTCCTTATCATAACTATACTATAAAGGAGCCAAAATACCCTATTCTAATGATTAACGCCGCTACATCAGGTTTGAGTGGCAGCTGCCCCGGGGGTCAAGCGTCGTAGCACATTATCGAACTGTTTGAAGTGCCGGTGTCATCTGAACGGTTTAGGGCTTAGAGTTTAGGGTTTACCTAATCGAATACGTGAGTTCGGTGCAGCAGAAACAAGAGACGACAGGACCCCCCCTAAACCCTAAACCCTATACCTTTTACATCCTAGGGTTTAGCTGAGGGTGTAAACCCTAAACCTTAAACTAAACTTGACTTTGCATCATCCCAGAGACGATTGCAATCGGCGCTTCACCGCACGCTTGGAGCGAAGGGGCAAGTCGCCAAGCACCCTCAACCCTAAAACCTAAAATAATTAGTACGGGGTTTGGGCGTTTTTTATATGGTGATTATTAATAAGGACCCCCCCCCCAAAAAAAAAAACAAAAAAGGGTATAGGTACGTAATACGGCCCCTAAAACCTAAGCCCTAAAATCTCCAGGGCCCCGGAGCCCAAATCCCTGAAAGCAATTCGGCCCCAGAGCTTTGGACACGCAGGAGGCCAAAGAATGGAGACAGCTGGAAGCTCAGATTTAGGGTTTAGGGTTCAGGGTTCAGGGTTTAGGGTTTAGGGTTTAGGGTTTAGGGTTTAGAGAAACCCCACTGAGTTGCAGGGAGTCGGGGGCTTCAAGCTTAATGTAGGGGCCTCAATAATCACCGATACTGTTTTTTGGGGGGTTCCGTATTATAGTTATACTATAATGGGCCCCAAAACCCCTAGTCTAATTATTAAGGCCCCTACATTACGTACGGTGTTTCGGACTTCGCCAAGTCGGGGTGTCATGCCGCTTGAGGTGCATTGATAGGTTCCCCACTTAGAGCAGAGGGGGCCGTGTTGCCTTTGCCGGCCCTAGGGATCTCTGACCACCGTGTGAATGACATCTTCCACGAGCTGTCTCGGATGATGCCACATAAGTCGATTAGGGCTGAATCGATTCAGTCTGTTGGGAGCTGTTCTGAATTATCGTCCGTCTTGGGGATCCCATGCCGAACAGGAATCGCACGCTGGCTTCCCTAAGCCCTAAACCACCAAAACCCTCAATACCCAAACCTAAACCCTAAACCCTAAACCCTAAACCCTCAATCGACCCGAGTGCAGCCCAAAGACCAGGCGCTACGTTCGACTGCCTGTGCGGCCATGGCGGCTGGAAGGAGCCAAGGCCAGTGGTGGGCGAAGTTGTGGGCTTTTTTGGTGTTTAATGTAGGGTAGGGTTTAGGGTTTAGGGTTTAGGGTTTAGGGTAAATAATTACATATATTATTTTGGGGTTCCTTATCATAATTGTAGTATAATGGGCCCCAAAGACCCTATTCTAATTATTCAGGCCCCTTTTCTTAGGCTTCTGGGGTTGGGTCAAGGGTCTGGGGCTTGTTAGCAGTTTCTAGGTTGACGCCTCTGACGGTTTGGGTCTGGGCTTTGAGCTTTAGTTTCGGGGCTCAGCTCTACCCCAGCCCTGAGAGGTCAATGGTTAGCTTTGCCCTAAACCCCAAAGCCCCTAAACCCTACACCCCAAACCTATAAACCCTAACCCTGAAGGCCCTAAACCCTAAACCCAAAGCCAAACCCCAAGCCCTTGAGGGCTGTGGCTGTTGAAAGCACAGCACCTTCTCGAGATCACGTCGGTTATTCTTGCTTTCCTTGGGCCTCCGCGAGCATTCGCATGTAATGATCATGACAAACAGTTTTCACATCTGCACAGGAAAAACCTTTCACGTGGAAGGTTGTCTTCTCAGCGTGGCAAGCTACGCCGGCCGCATTCTGACACAAGTAGCCCTGTAGGCAGCGCTTGCTGCAGCTTTTGCCGGCTCTAGCTCGCTTGCGCTCCTCCTGCTCTATATCGCGTGACCCTCGCAATGGCTCGCATGCTCTTCTTGGTGCTTCCTTGCCTTGTGGCAGCCGACCCCCAGTCCCTCCGTGGCTCCGTCGATGACGTGGCTTGCACTGGCAGCGGGGGCTTGTCTCAGGACGCCCCTAAACTTGGACCTGTAATCCCCTTGTAAGCCCTACTAGGCTTGGGTTTAGTGCTTTGCTGGCCGTGTACACATGTCATTACAGGGCCAAAGGAAGAAAGAAGCCTGCAGTCTACACTCTGCAATCCCAGAGCAGTGCATCCTCACCGGTGGACCTGAACCCTTAAACGCCAAGCACATGCCTCGCAGTCAGCGCCCCCTGAACCCGAAAGCCGTTGGCATCTGCAGGACGCCCCTTCTTGCTACGGAGGCCAGGTGCTTGTCGAGAGCTTCTCGCTTCACGTCCTGAGCTATGACGGCTCCACAGGTGGGGGACTCCTCGAACCTCAGGTAGGGGGCCTGAATATCATTAAACTAGTGATTCATAAGTTTAGGGTTTAAGGGTTTAGGGTTTAGGGGTTTAGGGTTTAGGATTCATAAATGAGTACTGCATATTCCCTAGGGTTTGTTGTTGTGATGTAGTATAGAACACCACCAAACATCAGACCAATTCTTGTTCTCAAGGCCATGCGGCCCGTTGGGGCTTTTGGGGCAGTTTGTAGGCGTTCCCTTGTAAGGGAACCTAGCTTAAGGGATCCCTCTCTGGAAGTGAGGTGGCTTGAGGATTTCAGTATGTAAGGTTGAAGGCTCATTACATCCCTTCATCATTCCTTTTTCGGGTGTTTAGGGTTTAGGGTTCCCTACTGTTGATGATAGAGGGTTTAGGGTTTTGGGGTTTAGGGGTATAACTCTTGCATTACCTTAAGGACTATGGGAATGATGGTATCCTCCCTGATTCTGGGTAATGCGGGGTTTATCTCATGAACCGTAGTTTGGGCATCAGGGTTAAGGGACCCTAAACCCTTGTCTTCCATGGCCCGAAACCCGAGGCAGAAAGCCGTAAACGGAAAACGCAGCGAGCGAAGCATTCTAAAACCTAAGTTCTAAGCAGTTGTCATCACTATGTGAAGACTACAAGCTCAAGTCCTGAACCCCACAAGCCCTCGACCCCCAAACCCCCAAAATCCTAAACCCCCGAAACACTAAGGGTAGTTCTCTAAACTAGGGTCCCCTTTTAAGGCCCCAATATAGTACGGCACCCTTATAAAACGGACCCTAAAAGGGACCCTGATTTAGAGAACTACCTATATATATATATATATATATACATACACATACCCTAAACCCTAAAACCCTAAACCCTAAACCCTAAACCCCCGAAACCATGAGGTATTGTGGACATGAAAGCCGAGGGTCCCCAGACGGCCGAGTGCGAGGGCGCAGAGTTCCAAAACGATGACAATGCCATTACCATCGAGAGCCACGGTTTAGGATTTAGGGTTTGGGGTTTAGGGTTTAGGGTCTTAACTGTTGTAGAGGCCCAGGGGTTTGTTAGGGTCTCTTCGGTTCTATAGTTTGTTTGCTCTTGGGGACAAGCTTGTTATTGCTGATCTCGTTTTGGCTTCGCCGCTGCCGCTCTTCGTGGCTTTGAAGACTTTAAGATGACACAGTTCCCTCGGCCCAAATCCCAAACCGCTAATGGAATGGTAGAGGCTACTCTACATAAAACGGATGCCACAACTCACAGTTGCGCCTTTCCATGTCCAGGTTTAGGGTTCAGTGATTTAGGCTGTTAGGGTTTAGGGTTTAGGGTTTAGGCTTACTGGGTAGGGCCACGGATAAGACATGAGCCCCCCTCCCCCCCAGCGGGGTGCATACGGTGATGCTCTGTTTTCAGGGTTCAAGGGTTCAGAGATCAGGTTGTAGCGGTCGTAGCATGTAGTCTGGTAGTGGTTCGCAATCGCCAGTTCCAGCTAAAGTTTCAACAGACACCCAGGAACGATCATGGATGTGGATTGGCCAACTACGAGTACTCCGTCAGGTATTGCCCAGACCAGGATCATGAATCTCTGCTGCAACGAGGGGCCAAAGGGGATTTGCACCTCGTGAGCCTTGTCTGGAGTCCGTAAACCGTAAACCCTCAATCCTACTGTTGATGACATAAATCCTGCATTACCTTAAGGATCCGAAACTATGGAAACTATGGTATATTCCTCATTATGGGTAATTGCAGGATTTATATCATCAACCGTACTGGTACGACTTGAACTTGAACGGTCCTCCAACGACGGATGAAGACTCGCAAGTCTGGCCACAGGCACCATGCTAATGACCCAGAGACTCCAATATCCCTTAATTAAGGAATATACCTTAACGCAGATTAAGGATCCTACTATAATTTAAGGAATATTCCTTAATTAAGGAATATTGGAGTCTCTGGGGAGCTTGCGGTTTCAATCAGAAGTCCAAGACACTTGTGGGTAGTTCTCTAAATTAGGGCCCCCTTTTTAGGTCCCCAATATAGTACGGCACCCTTCTAAAAAGGACCCTAAAAGGGACCCTAATTTTTGAGAACTACCCTTGTTGTGATGTTTAACAATGCTCTTCTATCAGAGCTTTGGCCATGGTATGCAACTGCTACAGTCAGTGCCCCGAGACATTTGGACCTGTCGGAGGAGGGGCAGCCAGGCGTTTGTTCATTGCCATCATGTAGATTAAGTCCTAGTTCAACCCCGGCCAAGACCAATTCTTGAGCATTCAACCCTCAACCCTAAACCCTAAACCCAAAACCCTAAACCGTGGCAAAGGCTAAACAGCACCCCGAAACCCTATAAACCCGAAACCTGAGGTCATTATCAACCTTGTGAAGCCCTATGACATGCGCGTGGTGCTGCAGAGCCAGACATGCCCCAGCGGAGCCGGAGAGGTTCCTCTTTCAAAGTTCTGGGGTAGAGAGGGGGGCTCAGGGTGTTGTGCTTTGGCATCGTCATATCGTGATAGCTTTGCCGCTTCTTCGCGCTTAGCTTTCGGGCTACAGATTGGAAGGAGCGTAGCAACAGCAGGAAGGGCAGCTTTGATTTGATGACTGTAACACTTTGCAGCCGTCGGAGATGTCAATCGGATGCATTACAGCAATCACACTGGCTAGTGTAGCAGTCGTCCGTATTCAGCAGGTATGTACAGTATTGCTATTATTATCACTAATCGTCGTAGTAGTAGTAGTAGTAGTAGTAGTAGCAGTAGGAGTAGCAGTAGCAGTAGCAGTAGCAGTAGCAGTAGCAGTAGTAGCAGCAGCAGCAGGAGCAGCAGCAGCAGCAGCAGCAGCAGCAGGAGTAGTAGTAGTAGTAGTAGTAGTAGTAGTAGTAGTAGTAGTAGTCGTCGTCATAGCAGAAGTAGTGGTGGTAGTAGTAGTCGTAGTAGTAGTGGTAAGTAGTGGTAAGAAGTAGTAGTAGTAGTAGTAGTAGTAGTAGTAGCAGTAGCATTAGCACTAGCAGTGATGATTGTAGTAGTAGTAGTAGTAGTAGTAGTAGTAGTAGAAATAGTAGTAGTAGTAGTAGTAGTTGTTGTTGTTGTTGTAGCAGCACTGGCACAGCAGTAGCAGCTGCAGCAGCGGCGGTTGCAGCAGGAGCAGGAGCAGGAGCAGGAGCAGGAGCAGGAGCAGGAGCAGGAGCAGGAGCAGGAGCAGGAGCAGGAGCAGGAGCAGCACTACTACTAATAAGAACAATAATACTAATACTGCTACTACTGCTACTACTGCTGCTACTACTACTACTACTACTACTACTTCTACTACTGCTACTACTAATACTATGTCTACGACGACGACTACTACTACTACTACTACTACCACTACTACTACTGCTGCTCCTACTGCCTGAAGGCAGATAGGTTGTGGTCTTCGTAAGCGACGATAAGATCTTGCTCGTCTCCGTGTACTATTCCCACGAATAGGGCTAGTAAGTACTACTGAGGCTGCTAGTGGTAATGGCAGTACGAGTAGTACGAATACTACTAGTAGTACGACTAGTACGAGTGGTACTAGTTGTACTATAGCGGTACCTTTAGCGCGAGTGCTAGTTAGCTGCTAGTAGTAATGCCTTTGTAAGAAGGAGTAGTGGGAGTGTGAGCAGCAGCCGCAGCGGCGGCAGCAACACAGGACACAGCAGCGCAGCTGCAGCCCAGCTGGAAGCAGTGTCAGCGCGAGGCGACGGAGTGCTGAGACCCGCACACCGTGGACTGCAGCGGGCCGGAGCTTGACCTGAAAATCGATTGACGAGTATGACGAATGTCATGATATTGACAATGGGATTGACGAAATACTGCGGTCGGAAGAATTACCAAATGATCAGTGTTATTCCTTAACTCCTTATTAGTTTCATCTGGGATTTATCCCAGGATGCCGCAACAAATGTTTCGATTTGGGGCGCTTCCTTCCGGGGGCCGTGCCGAAATCACAAGACTCTGCACCTAAACAGGGGCGCGCGACTAACTCGCAATATGTTCGCTGAAGGTTCGTGATTACATTTGTTTTTTTTGTACCCCAAGACACTAGTTCAATAAATATGGGCACGGGTGGTTCTCTAAATTAGGGTCCCTTTTAGGGTCCTTTTCATAAGGGTGCCGTACTATGTTGGGGACCTCAAAGGGGACCGAAATTTAGAAAACTACCCATATTGAGATGCCTCTACTGGGCTCTTCCCAAGGTTGACTTCCTGCTAGGTCCCCGACGCTGCGGAGGCCGTGCTACCGCAAAGGAGCATCCTTCGATCAGACCCAGGCTTGAGGGTTTAGGGTTTAGGGTTCAGGGTTTAGGGGTTTAGTCACAAAAACAACATTCGGAACATAATGGCAAGATACGCACCATCATAGTGCTAACAGCAACAAAACTGCCAAAGGAGCAACAGAACCACTAGCAAGACAGATAAGGTAGTGGCATTTCACCCGACTAGAAACAAGGTAGGCGGCTGACCTGCCGCCCTGCGTTTTGTCACGTTCCCAACACCCGAAAGTACTGTAATTTACGGCATTCTGGCTCCTAAGGGCTATTTTGGGAGGTTAGGGAAGTTAGGCAAAAAGAATGACCATAGGTCAAACATGTAAGGAGGAGGCTGTTCACACTACGCACGAACCCCAGTTCGGCTGCGCACTAGCGACAAAGCGCACGAGGCAACGCCTCTTCAACGGAATTCTTGAGGCACACGGTGTGGCGCCTCTGAAAAGCATACGCCCAGCTCCACTGTGGACGTTATGATGGTTGCCACATGGATGGTCTGCAAAAACGGACGGAGTCTTTGTGAAGGTTATCATGCTTGCCACAGGGATGCTCTGCAAAAACGGACGGAGTCTTTGTGGGCGTTATCATGCTTGCCACATGGATGCTCCACAAAAACGGACGGAGTCTTTGATGTCTTTGTGGACGTTATCATGGTTGCCACATGGATGCTCTGCAAAAACGGACGGAGTCTTTGTGGGCGTTATCATGCTTGCCACGTGGATGCTCTGCAAAAACGCACGGAGTCTTTGTGGGCGTTATCATGCTTGCCACATGGATGCTCTGCAAAAACGGACGGAGTCTTTGTGGACGTTATCATGGTTGACACATGGATGCTTTGTGGGAAATAACGGAGTCAGTCATAACGACGCACGGCAACAGCAAGAAAAAAAGGCGACTCACCCATAAAAATGCAGTGAAAACGGCCCTGCCAGCATAACACGCGCTGAAAAACAGCAAAAATTCGAGTTTTGGACCCGGAAAGAGCACAATCGCAGCACAAGCGAAAATCAACAAAAGAGCAAGAACGAACGACAAAAAATATAATAAATGTTCAAAAACCCCAGGAAAACGCAAGGTCTAGAGCAAAATGTCGAAGCAGCAAGAACGAAAAGATGCCGAAAAAGGGTGTCCGGGCGGCGTGTCGGTTGGCAAAAACAAGACTAAGACTACTGGACCATAGTAATCAGTAACGACAATATGGGGTAAATCATAGGAATGCAAGAGGGACTGGGTTGTTGAGCTCCCATGGGGTGGGATATCGTTTGGGGACTTCCGGGCAGACACTGAGGTGAGGATGAGGCCCAAGATCTCTTGAGAACCGAAGTACCCCTGAGCTCTGAAGGAATGCCGACAACTGCTTTCAGGCGAGCAGCACTAGAGGCTCGGTGGCCTTGTTGTAGTCGGCCTGGCGGCAGGCGCAGATGGCGCAAGCACAGAGACAGCCCAAGACACCGCCAGCATCCACATGCATCCACCAGCCGGCATGCCCACTGCAGGCAGAAAGGTCCATCCCTCAGGTGCCTGTGATTCGATGAACGGCGATATCACAGACTCCCAGAATCAGAAAGCAGTGGTTCAGCATCGGTCCGGCACCCTTGCACCACCGAATGCCCCACGAAAGCACGCCAGGACTCGCCACTAACTGCTCCAGCGCGGGGGCGTCCGTAGGGAGAGCCACCGTCCTAGGGGGGCTGTTTGATTGAGGAGAAGACGCCGCTTGAAACCAAAAAGCTCGCACTTGATTCTCCGTGCTCCGGCTTAGTTTTGGATTCAGGTGCCCTGTGCACTCTGCAAGTTCGGTATCCGAGCGAAGGAAAAGGAAACGCAATTGAATGAGCACTAGCAAAATCAAGCATTTTTGGCCTACCGATGGAGAAGCTATCCATGGTGGACAGTTGAGGCGACATCACGACGAAAACTGTCCACCAAAGTCAGTCCTTACCCGTACCCTGAACTCTGAAACAAATTGGACATCTCCGAACTGGGTGCTGGAGCCCCCTGCCGAGAGGGAATCTTGAACGCATCGAGATCCTTTGAGATGGTCTCCGCTTGTTTCCTGAAGACCCGCTGCAAACGCTGCTTGGAGCCCTTGTAGAGGGGATGCTTGAGGCTAACATGGCTACGTGCACTTGGTAACCAGAATTCTTGCAGGGAGTCCGGGCTTTCTCAATTTTATACTCCGTGGTTGGAAAAATGGATACTCACCTTGACGTCTGGTATGGGCTACATAAGCAGAACCAGGCTTGAGATATCTTTAGACGTCTCTATCTAGCTACGAGAGGCTGATGCCTTGCTGGGCTTCACCTTCCCTGCTCGAGCTTCCCAAGTGGAGGCTCACTCAGGCTGCGGCTTGTCCGCATCCGTTGCAACGGCCAGCAGAGCCAGGCAGCCGCGGATCATCCCGGCCCGTGACAGGTTGCTGATGATCCTGACACTTTCAGAACGCATATTCACAATCATCGTCACCTTCATCCGCACCATCACTCTGCTTGGATCAGCACTGGAAGCGTCGGCGTCATCGTCATCGACACTGATTCTAGTTTCGACTGCTTCAGGGGTGACCTCCCGACACATTCAGAGCAGCAAAGCCTAAAACTCCCCATACTCCCCCTCTGATGACATGCGAGAACAACTTCGATGAGATCAAGGAAGAGAGATCAGTTCGAAGATCCTTGAAACGAGGTTCCTACACAGACGTGAGGGTGAAGGCTGGATGAGGTCCTCTTCTCCGGCGCCATCTTCGGTGGGAACTGGAACCTAGAGCAAGTGACGGTGCAGCTTGAGGGTGAGGGCAAAGATGCTGATTTGGCTTGGTGGCGGCAGCTTCGAAGCCTTCAGTTCGAGGACAGTGGAGGCTCGTGCTTTGCAACTTTGCAACCGCCATGCATCAGGTGCTCGGCCTTACTGTAAGACGACGCATGATTTGATCTGAACCTTGACAGCATACCCTTTCAAAGGCCCCTCTCCATGTCACATCGCCAATTGGTGAGGCCACAAGGTCCCCACTTGTTCCCGGTGACTGTCTCGTAGATCTTGATATACCTGTAGGCGCCTGGCCATTTTCAGTCAACTTTACTCTGGGTTTGTGGCGAGATCGCCATGAGCACACCACTACACCCCTTGAAACTCAGTGTAGCAGATAAGTTCCATCGCCTGTGTAATCTTTAGATGTGCTGTTCAATACCATGCCGTTCTTCCATCTACTACTCTTGCGCCTGTGTAATCTTTAGATGCGTTGTTCGATACCATACCGTTCGTCCAACCTACAACTCCTGTTCAAACATGCTGCAAGTAGTGAAGAAGATGCG